ATTTTGATCCCCATTTTTAAGAATTAAGGGGATGCACAAGAGTGTGCAAATTATAGAGGAATTAAGTTGATTTGTCATACTTTAAAATTATGGGAGAGGGTAATTGAACATAGTTTAAGACACATCATTAAAATTTCTCATAGTCAATTTGGATTTATGCCAGCCACGTCTATTATGGAAGCTATACATTTATTGAGAGGTTTTATGGAGAAGTTCAGAGATAATAAGGAGAATCTACATTTGATTTTTATTGATTTAGAAAAGCTTACGATAAGGTTCCAAGAGATATCCTTTGGAGAGTTCTCGAGAAGAAATGTTTGATATGACTTATATTCAAGTCATTAAAGATATGTATACTAGAGCTGTTACTTGTGTTCAAACTGAAGGAGGATTGACAAAATATTTTCCTATTTCTGTTGGTTTACATCAGGGATCGACTTTAAGCCCATATCTTTTTGCTTTAGTTATGGATTGTCTTACTGGATATTTACAGGAGGATGTACCTTGGTGTATGCTTTTTGCTGATGATATTCTTCTCGTGGATAAAACGAGAGAAAAAGCCCAGGAAAAACTTGAATTATGGAGGTCTACATTGGAGTCTAAAGGCCTTCGTTTAAGTAGAACTAAAACTGAATACATGGAATGTAATTTTAGTAGTAATAGCTCTAGTGACAGAAGTGTGACTTTGGGTGATCAAATTATTAAAAGGTGTGAACGATTTAGATATCTTGGGTCCGTTGTCCAAAGCGATGGTGATATAGATGGGGATGTTAATAGTAGAATTCAAGTTGGTTGGTTGAAGTGGAGGAATGCTTCGGGCCTTTTGTGTGATAGAAAAGTACCGCTAAGACTGAAAGGAAAATTTTATAAGATGGTGGTGAGACCTGCAATGCTCTATGGCGTTGAATGTTGGCCTTTAAAAGAGAAGCATAATAATAAGTTAAGTGTTGCCGAGATGAGAATGATTAGGTGGATGAGTGGCTTTACACTTAGAGACAAAATGCGGAATGAATATATTCGTGATAGGGTTGGTGTAGCTCCTGTGACAGACAAAATTAGAGAAAGTCGTCTTAGATGGTTTGGTCATATTAAACGTCGACCATTAGATGATCCGATTAGGAGAGTAGATGCTTTAAATTCGACTTGTGTTAAGAAAGGCAGAGGTAGACCTAGGAAGACTTGGGCTTATTGTATTAAAAATGATCTTAATTTACTAGAACTAAATGAAAATATGACACTAAATAGGACGCAATGGAGAAAAAGGATTCATGTAGCCGACCCCACGTAGTGGGATTAAGGCTTTGTTGTTGTTGTTGTTGTTGTTGTTGTTTTCTAATTTTGCTGGTTTGATGTTAGCCTTTTACCACAAGCTTCTTGAGGCATAGTTTTAGAGAGACTGTACTTTTCCTCTTGGCGAATTTTAGAATTGGAGAGTAGAGAGATGGATTGTGGAGTTAGAGATATGGAACGAGTGGATTCAAAGAAGCATCACCATTATTCTTCTTGTATTTTATCGTGGTCTGTTGTTTATGAAACTTGGTGTGTTTGTTAACCTAAAATTGAAAATTTAATTAGCAGCCTTACTCCGTTGAGATCCGTTAGATGTGTTTTATGGTTCTCTTTTGATGCTTTGTCGATGCCAATAAACTAATTGAGTTCCATCTTCCTTTTAATACGTTAATCCTTTCTTGTTTATCTTTAAGACTTAATTTTCAGTTTTTCACATTATAATGCAAATGTAATTTCTCTTAAAGATTGGTATTGGGATCATCAATTAAATGAATCACTCTCGTGTTTCTGTTTATAATCGAACAGTGGGAGTTCTGACAAGTTCAGTAAGGAATGTACTTGATGTTGTATCTTTAGAATTTTAGTTGGTACTTCATCAAATGCAACTAAACTTGAGCAACTTTTTAGTCTCAATTATTTAACTTGACCTTATGTTTTTCATGGCGAGCCTTATTCTTCTATGACCTCTTCTTATTTTCTTTCACGTGCTGGTTTAGTAATTGATGTTCACGTTGTTCTTTTTACCATCAACGTCATCCTCAGTACCAACTTAAATCTCTCACAAAAGGGCTTCTATGACAAGTTACTTTAAGCACATCTTAAAATGAATTTTGATGTTTGACCCGTGGAAATCTTCTCTCCCCACTTTGTGGAATAAAGGCTTGTTGTTGTTACCTATGGAAATCACGGTTGAAGGAAAACTACATACATGGAATACCTTGTTCTATTTTCAAATCTCGTGCATCACAGCTTCTCAGCATATGGAACTATTATTTACTTCAGTAGCACTTTTTGTCCATCAAATCTTGAAGTCCTTTTGGGAAATACTAAGAATTTTGTTGGCTTCGTTTGTCATACTAGATTGGTACAATTCAAAATGATTCCAATGATGCTGGAAAAATAATTTTGTTGTCTCTCTCTTGTGATGGTTTTCTAGCATGAGCGAATACACCACTTTCCTAAATGGTGCACTATGATGATAGATAATTAGACTCTTTTTTGTGTTGTCTTTAATCATTGTCCAAATAGTTTCTGATGTCTTATTTGGTATTTGCGAGTCACTTCATCTAGTTTGAAGCTTTGATATATAGAGTAGATATATTTAAAAAACCTTGAACATCCTAGTGCATCTTTTGCCAATAAACACAATGCTTTCATTTTTGAAGTTTCACACAATAAACTCTTGAAGTATGAGCTTCTCATTTCCAAACCAAATAATTGATATCTTTCAGCACACATAAATGGTCTATGGTATAATACAACTTGCTTTCAGTTATATGCTCACTAAAATTGATGACTCAAAACCAATAATTTAATGTATGAAGTTGTTTTGGCTTCCTAAGGACTTTGCGGTTTCATTCGATGGTTATGGCCTTCTAGGGTTCCAATTTGTTGTTGAACTCTTTTAAAGGCTCCCTTCACCCTTTGAAAATTTGGTCATGGGACTCCAATTTGTTGTTTTAAAGGCTTTCCACTCCCTTTGAAACTTGGATGTGATGAATTCAACAATTGCTCTCTTTGAAGCACATTGGCAACTCTTCTTATAAACAAGATTGTAGGTTGTGGATCCGTTTGTGCTCGAACTAGACATTTTATTGGCCTTGTTGTTGTGCACTCCTTTCTTATACTTAATCACCAGATTGATTTATTATAGAAGTAACATGCACTCTTTTTTTTATATCGGTTATATATTGATTTAGATAAAGTATGGGGACTGTGGAGTTGTCAATAATCCCTATGTAGAAAGATCTCTTTCTCAACAAATTGTTCCTCCAATATTTCAAAATATGATTGTCATAGGTATGCTAGTTTCTACGTGCACTTTGGAACATTTAAAACATCTTTAAATGGTAAGCAACGCGTCTTTCACATACTGAATTAGAATGATAACATTGTCATAGTTGGATGTATCTATCTTCTACTAAAATGTTCTTTGAAAGTTGAGAAGTGCAAGCACTCACTTCTTTTTAGCAAGGAGCATTTACATTCATACCACACAATTCTTGTAATTGCACATCTAACACCTGAAGATTCATGTTTACATGCATGCCACTCAAATGTTGAACATCACATTAAGAAGACCAGCATCACTATCTTTTGAAACGTGAAATACACATTTTTGTGCATATATTTTTTAGACCAAGGTGTGATAAAAGTAAACATTGAACTGTGGGTGTTTAATATGTAAATACTTAAGAATTGTGTGGTATTTATGTAAATTTCCCTTTTAGCTGTTGTAAAGGGTTACTCCTTTTCACAACACTGGATAAGGGAAACCAAAAATTGTACCAAGTTGTCCGTTGTTGAGAAATAGAAGTTGTTCTTTTCTTTTGATTTCTTTTTCTTTTTATTTGGCTTATACATGTACAATGAAGGGAGAAAATCCTCCATTAGATGAATAGAGAAAAGTAGGAGTATGAGGAGAAGAGGCAGATCTAATGTTTAGCATGGATAAAGTTTATTCATAATGATTTATGTAATATATCTTTTAATTCTCAGGGAATATTTAGCATAAATGAATATAAATTAAAGTTTCATAAACCCGACCACAAAGAGTTAGCATATTGATGATGAAGAAGTGAATTTCTACTCCTGTTGTTTGACTTGCCTAAAGAATTTATAAGTATGCAATCCCATTGGAAGATGTGTGAGGCGCATTTTTTTCCTTTGCCTGGTCTAGGAGATTCACCCAACTCATGTCTAGCGATGCTAATTTATTTTATTGCAAATTTGTGATTTTTTTTTATTTTTCTCTAATCATTGTGTCATCTTCTAGTTATAACTTGCATTGTTATCTTGAATTGCTTTATTTACCTCGATTAACTTGAAATGGTTTACTACTTTTTTTCTGATGGTTAACCTTCTCTTTATATAATCCTTGTGTTATGGCAGTATCTTCAGCATGTCTTTGCAGATTACCCAGCTTCTTCTGTCAGCCCAATCTGCTGATGGGCGTGTTAGAATTGCTGCAGAGGAGAACCTCAAGCAATTTCAGGCACAAAATCTCCCTCACTTCCTCTTCTCTTTGTCCGAGGAATTATCCAGCGAACATAAACCTCCAGAATCACGAAAACTCGCCGGCATTATCCTTAAGAACTCATTAGATGCTAAGGATGCCCTCAGAAAAGGTGAGTTGACTCAACAATGGATCAATATCGATGCTTCTCTCAAATTTCAAATCAAGGAATCACTACTACAAACGCTCAGCTCACCTGTATCTGAGGCAAGTCAAACTGCATCCCAAGTTATTGCTAAGGTTGCATTCATTGAAATACCTCGAGGAGAATGGCAGGATCTCATTGGGCGGCTTCTAACCAACATGACCCAACCAGATACACCAGCTACTTTGAGACAGGCGACATTAGAGACACTAGGATATGTTTGTGAAGAGATTTCTCCTCAAGATTTGGAGCAGGAACAAGTAAATTCTGTTCTTACTGCGGTCGTACAGGGAATGAGCCGGGCACAGGATAGCTTTAAGGTTCGTCTGGCCGCTGTAAGATCTTTATACAATGCCCTCGATTTCGCACAGACTAATTTTGAGAACGAGATGGAGAGAAATTATATCATGAAAATAGTATGTGACACGGCCGTGTCAAACGAGTCCGAAATCAGACAGGCGGCTTTCGAATGCCTCGTTTCTATTGCTTCCATGTACTATGAAATTCTCGGACCTTACATGCAAACACTTTTCAGTTTGACGGCGAATGCCGTGAAGGCAGATGAGGAGTCTGTCGCGCTTCAAGCTGTTGAATTTTGGAGCTCCATATGCGACATGGAGATTCAAATACAAGACGAAATTGAGGGAGCGGATGCCAAAAGCTCGGAGGGGTATCATCATTTCATACAGAGAGCTCTCGGTATGCTCGTTCCGATGCTGCTGGAAACCCTTCTCAAGCAGGAAGAGGATCAGGATCAAGATGACAGCATATGGAATCTTTCCATGGCGGGTGGTACGTGTCTCAGGCTTGTTGCAAAGACCGTCGGCGACGAGGTTTTGCCCTTAGTGATGCCTTTTGTTGAGGATAATATCATGAAACCCGATTGGAGGAGCCGTGAGGCGGCTACTTTTGCATTCGGATCCATTCTTGAAGGTCCATCTATCGAAAAACTTTTACCAATGGTTCATGCTGGACTGGATTTCTGAATGCGATGAAAGATCAGAATAGCCAGGTGAAAGATACTACGGCATGGACTTTGGGTCGGATATTTGAGATTCTACATTCTCCTAACAGTGAATACCAAGTGGTGACGCCGGCCAATTTACATCGAGTCATTTCTGTATTGCTGGAAGGTATTCGCGATGCCCCTAACGTGGCTGACAAGGTTTGCGGAGCCATCTATTTTCTCGCTCAAGGTTATGAAGATGCAGAGTCGGGTTCGTCTATTCTCACGCCTTACCTGGGCGAGATTATTTCCGCTCTTCTTTGGACTGTGGATCGCACCGATGTCAGCAGCTCCAAGTTACGTTGTTCTGCATACGAAACGCTGAACGAGATAATAAGATGCAGTCAAATTCCTGAGACAGCGAATATGATTGCTCAATTACTTAACGAAATCATGAACAGATTAGGCAGGACTGTGGAGCTTCAAATATTATCTTCTGAAGAGAAAGAGAAGCAGAGTGATCTGCAGGCATTGCTCTGTGGTGTTTTGCAAGTAATAATACAGAAACTGTGCTCCTCTGTTGACACAAAACTGATATTTATTCAAGCTGCCGATCAATTAATGGCGTTGTTTCTCAGAGTCTTCGCTTGTCGCAGCTCCACTGTGCATGAAGAAGCCATGCTTGCGATCGGAGCTTTTGCTTATGCTACCGGTCAAGAGTTCGTCAAGTACATGCCCGAGTTATATCAATATCTTGATATGGGTTTGCAGAACTACGAAGAGTATCAGGTTTGCTCTATATCCGTTGGCGTGGTTGGCGATATATGTCGCGCCATGGAAGATAAGGTCCTTCCATTCTGTGATGGAATCATGACGAATCTTCTAAAGAATCTGTCAAATTCGTTACTTCATCGGTCGGTTAAAGCTCCGATATTCTCCTGCTTTGGGGATATCGCCCTCGCAATTGGGGAGAATTTTGAGAAGTATGTCCCGTATGTCATGCCGATGCTGCAGGGGGCTGCGGAGCTCTGCGCTACTTTGGATGATAATGATGAAGATATGCTCGAATATGGAAATCAGTTGAGACGAGGCATCTTCGAAGCATACTCAGGCATTCTTCAAGGATTCAAAGCCTCGAAGGCGGATCTGATGATACCTTTTGCAAGTCATCTTCTGCAGTTCACAGAGGCTGTGTTCAGGGAGAAAAACAGGTAGCTGTTTCTGGTACTCACATTTTTTAATATGGATATTTATCATACACACCACATAATTCTTTTGTATTTACATATTTAATTTCCAAACTTCAGTTTTACTTGCGTAGCACTAAAATCTTTATCATCACCTAAAAAAATTTAACTATCACATACTTTTAAAATTTTAAATACACATTTTTATGTATAGGTTTATCAGACCAAAGTGTTATAAATGTAATTATGAAAATTTAGGTGTTATATTTGTACATATATATAGGAACATTTACATACATACCTCTCAATTCTTATTTATTTAAATATCTGACACCTAAGATCCTACAATGCATGAAAAGGTGTAATGCACATTTTAAGAAGTAAAATGATTGTATTTTTTTGTTGATATATGAATGATTTGAACTCAAATATGTATGAATTGTGTGACATGCATGCAAATTTCTCTTTTTAATATTGCTTTTAATTTTGTGACATCTTAATAAAAAAGAATCTCCCTTCTGTTAATCTGATTCAGGGACGATGCGGTGACGAAGGCGGCGGTTGCTGTCATTGGTGATCTCGCTGATACCCTCGGACCCAGCATCAAACTTCTGCTAAAAAATGCTAATTTTCATGTTCGTTTCTTGGGAGAATGCTTCAGTTCTGAGGATGATCAGTTGAAGGAGACGGCTATGTGGACTCAGGGAATGATCGGACGGGTACTGGCTTCTTAAATCTGCTATTTTTTCGTGTCTTTGATCATACTGCTATTGTTATGATTTTGTTTTGCCAGGTCAAGTTGAAGGGTCTTAAATGTCATTGTTAGTATATATTAGGTCGTGTAGAAAGTTTTCATGTTTGTACAGGTGCTACTTGCACCTGTCTTCGGAGTGCACTTGGCCAATGGCATGGTAGTGCCCCTCCGATGGTTCCTCGGGTTTTTTTAGGGATTTTGTTGAGTTGATGGTAATTTTGAACTTTGAAATGAATTCTTCCACAGATTTGTGTTGAACTTCTTAGGGGCCGTTTGGAATTAATTTTGATTTTGATTTTTCATTTTTTATTTCGGGCATTTACATACATAACATAAGGCACACAATTTTTATGTATTTACATATCACATCTAAATTTTCTTATGCATACACATAGTACTCGAATCTTTAATATCACATAAAAAATACTGCAATTATCATTTTTTAAAAGTGAAATACTATTTTTTTCTTCATAGGCTTAAAGTGTGGAAGTGCTATATATATATAAATATGAATGTGCGAGGTGTGTACATACATAAAAGAACTGTGTGCTACCAGTATAAGCCTCTCTTTTTTATTTTTATTCTTACTTTGTTTATATTTTTATTTGAAATAAAAGATGTTCGGTATGAATGAAATGTTTAGTTGTTTTTAAGATTACTTATTAGATTTTAGAAGTTTTGAGTGTTTTAAAGCAAGTTAATAAGTTTATGAAAATAAAAAAAAAATTTAAAAAATGTAAAAAAAAAAGGTACCAACTAAATATGTTTTTAAAATAAAATTTAAAAAAAGAAGTAAAAGTGATACCATTAGCCTTTGCATTGAGCATGTCGCATTTGTTTTTTGTTTGCAATTAGTTTAATTATGGGATTTTCAGTTTTGTGTTGAAGAAACTATGAAAGAGCTTTGCAGAAATTGAATGATCTCTGAACATCTCTTAGAATGTCACCTGACCAATGATACTGTGGGCTGAGAATTGTCTTGTGGGGAATGGTTTCTTTAAGCTTTATTTAGTGAAACTAAAAATTCTATGCACCACCTGCAGACCCAAGAAAAGAAAGAGCTGCCTCCTAAAGTATGATACAATTGGATTAGTAGCTCTCCAAATGAAGTTAGATGAATATCATAAAATTAGTTGGATTTGGGGAGTTCATGTAGGCTTCTTTTGCTCCTTTAGTTGGTGCATAGAAGATTACAATTTGACCACTTGAAAATTTTCAATCCACTTTCTAGATCATTAATTAGGACAATTCCAATTTTAAGATGTTTTAAGAGACTATCAGGTTAAGGGTCCAGTGGTCAGGAAAGGAGATTAATCAATAAAGATTAATGATTTTTTTTAAAAATGAAAATGCATGAGAGCATAAAGTATTACGCTAGGAAATGAATTATATTATAATTAAAGTATAGCCAAGAAGATTTCACTCAACCCTAACATTTATTTATGAAACTTAAGTTTTTTAAGTTATGTCATCAATTTTTTTTCTATTCTAGTGGTTCAAAATGATGAGTAGAAGTATATCTAAAAGTTGTTTCATTTAAATTTCACTTTGAAATCAGTGGCTCAAAGGATGATATGTGCGCGTGCACGAGTGCATGTGTGCGTGCACGTGTGTACTATGACTTGTTGATAGAGTAGGCTCTTTAAAAAGTCGTAAGTCCTCTCAGTTCACGAGTTCTAATCCCCCCGTGTGTAGGGTATGGTACTTGAATATTTAACACACCTAGGGACGGTCGGGGCTCGTTTAATAGTCTTCAACCATTCCTTCTAACTATATATATATATATACTGTAATTTATCGCTAATATTAGAGGGTATCGTTTGGGAAGAGGAGGATGCTAGGATTAATCTATAAAATGATACCTTCTCAAGCATGAAAAATTCACAATGATGAGGCTTTAAAGGAAACATATTCTTAGGGCTTATTTTGAATATATATATATATATATAAGCTGGTTGCATTACTGTTTATAGAAGGTAAACCTATTTTCATATTGGCCTCTAGTTTGAATGCCCAAAGCAGCATTTTGCATTGGCCGAAATGCTTGATTTTTATAAATTACAGACCTACTGATTTTCCTACTGTATATATATGTTTTTATTTCTTTCTTTCATTTCTAAAAACATATTTTTTTAATGTGTTTTTTTACATATTTGTATCTTTATTTCCAAAAAATTAAATATATTAGTTTTGAAATTACTCAAAATAATGTTCTTTAATTTTTTTAAAAAACGATTTTTTAAAATCAAACATATCAAAAATATTTTATTACGAATTAAAATATAAATAAAATAAAAAAGTAAAGTAGAAAATAAATATGCACAAATTAAAAATGATTATGAAAAGATATAACAACTTAGTCAATATTAGAACTCATGAAGGGCTCTGTTGTTGTATTTAGCTGAGTGTGTAGTGCTATTTTCTAGCATTGGCACCTTTGCTTCTTCATGTAACATTTATGATCAAAGTTAAAGTAAAAAAAAAAAAAAAAAAAAAAATTAAATGTCCTCCTAAGAATTTTCCTATTTTTCATTATAGAAATTTATTTTAATTAGATTTACAAAAATTAATGTAACAAAAATTTTAAGTGATTTATAAAAAAAATTAATAAATTTTTTGAACATTAATTAATTACATGGATAAAATAGAAAATTTTAATTAGAATAAAATTAAGATATTTATTTGAAAAATAAAAATTTTAAATAAAAAAGAAATCTACCCATCAATATTTGGACTTTAAATTTAAAACAATTGTCAAGCCAAATACAAAAAAAAAAAAAAAAAAAAAAAAAAAAAGATAAAAGAATTTCTTTTTTAAAAACATGATTTTGCAAAAAATATGGCTGATCAAAATTTGTACTACAAGTTGATTATATTAGCTAAGTTAACAAACCCAAAAAAAGCTAAAAAAAAAAACCGAAAAATAAATTTATTGATTTCAGCAAATAAAGTTTTTTTTTTAATAATTACTGTTGTTGAAACCAATGAAAATAATATTTCAGTATATTAATGAGTAAATTATTAAGTTAATTTGATATAACTATTTTTATATGCTCATCACTTTTCATATATATATATATGTATTTATGAATTAATATTTTAGATTAATTTATATTAATTATTAACATTAATTTAAATTTTGACTAATTTATGTGCATCTATTTGTTTTCATGATCATTACTGATGTGTGCCAAAAGCTTCACGATGGTAAAATTATTATTTAACATCTTACCATCACACGAAATTAATATTTATAGATACAAAAAAGATTTTTATGCGGAAAACCAGAAAGGAAAAATTTTTAATTGGAGTTTGAATGTTTTTGCCTAAAAGTTACTTTTAAATTCATGATAATCACCTCGAGATTTATGCTAAATGCCAATATTTGTTAATAATGTATTAGTTGCCACTTAATTTTTTTGGTGATTTTGCTTTCTTGTCCAAAAATTAAGGAATTTTCTAAGAAATTGAGGAAATTTTGAAGTTTCCTAGGGCTACTAAAGGTGTCGTGTGGCGAGTTGATAGGCAGTCCTCGCTACGAGAGGCAATAACTAGAGATGACACACGTAGACGGATGCTAGAAGTCTTCAACAGGTGGTGGCGGTAGCAGTGATTGTGTGAACCAGTTCACACAATCGGGACAGAACGAGTCGGCAGGCTGGAGCGGGTCAACGCGTTACAGTTAGCGAGTCATCGAGTTGGAGCGAGTTACTCGAGTTAGCATGTTGCATACATATGCACGAGTCTGTCAACGGGACGATATGCAGGCTATGGGAGAAAGACGTCGGTGATCCGCGCCAGCAATGCGTGGGACATGATTTGAACGACACGTCCACCATCTGATCTGTGGCTTGGGAATCACGAGAGATCATAGATCCTAGGATGCATGGTTGGATGCATATCCAAATGGTACGAGGGAGCTCCACCTCACAGATCTGTGGCCTGTGTTGCACAGGATCAGATATAGTAGCAACAATTTACTCATGCGAACGAGTAGGATTAAAAGGCGGAGCGAAGGCAGCGGTTGGAGGGCACGATCACATAGATCACAATCATGAGATGTATTAATTAAGCTGAATCAGATGATGGATGCATGGGGTAGACTTTGATTTTGGCTTATTTAGCCAATTTTCTTGGCCTTTTGAGGTTAGAAAAAGCCATAAGTGGAGAAAATTTTGGAGTCTCCCAGCTTGTTTGTACAATTAACGAAGCCCCCTTTGACATACTTGTTGCCCATCTCAGAATCTCCTAATCTGTCAACATGAGCTCCCCTAAAAATCATTATTTCCCTCATTAGAGTTGCCCAACTCATTTGCGCAATCAACAGAGCTTCTATTGGTTGTTATTGCTAATCTTGGAGTCACCCAACTTATTTATACGATCAACAGAGTTCCCTTACATATATTTGTTGCAATTTATGGAGAGAATTTTTAGTGTTTCGACATGTTTATATCTGGGGAACCCCGGCTTAGTGAAACCCAAAGAAAATTCAAGAATCCTGAAGAAACAATATCAAACTTGATGGAGGACGACCCCATACCATTCCAGAAGAAATTTTATTTCTCGAACGATGTAATGGTGAAATTATCAGTCCCAAACGATCAAGCATATTCTCTTCATGGACGGTATGTTGTTATTTTTGAGGCAACGCTGTGGATTGGTTTGCGGTTTTCTTTGGCACCTATGCTGTTAGACAGTTTGAAGAAGACCGTAGTGAATCTTACTTGATTCTTTTATCAGGTTGTGACAATCATCATTGGGCTAATTTCCTTATTCAAAAAACATGAGTTAAAGCTAAAGCTGGAGATTTTCATCTGGTAGGGTGTATTTACAAGCAACACACAAGGTCATGTCTCTTTTCGAAGCAAACAATTAGATTTTTGTATGAAGGATTATATAAGCCAGTGGTTCGTATGATTTTTCTTTGCATAGACGATTGGAGATTCCGAGAGAAAGAGGGAAACTTTAGTAATTGCACATCTCCCTCCTAGTCACTGAAGATGAAAAACTACAGTTGCTCAATTTTTTAGTTGACGGGGACACAAATCAAGGTGTAATATATCTACGAATTTGTGAGTAATAAATTCATAATTAAAGTGAAATTCTTGTGTCTCTTCCTAGGCTATTTTTTGCAAGATGTAAAAGAAATCTAGAAAGAAGTTTCGTGAGTCAACCCCCGTGACGCCTCTGAAGTGCCCCTTATTGAGTAGTGATTATGTGATGCTTCTTCAGAAGCAATGCAAGAGGAGTGAAGAAACGAGGAAGCCTTCACCCACTCCTTCCAAGATTCACATTTCGAAGAACGTGTTGATTCATTTGTTCAGTAGGTTCTAGAAGGCCAAGGCCTTTGTGAGTATATGATAAATTTCGTTGTCACATGTTTGTCTCATATGCTTGTTATAGAGTTATTTGTTCCAGATGGAAAAATTATGGACCTTCAAGTGGGCTCGACATTTCTTTGAAAGAGTGGGACTCCAAGTTCTTCAAAGTTAAGTACTTTCAAGGTGAGTACAAGTGTCAATATGATTTTAAAGCTACATAAGTTACGACCCTATTATCTGAGCTAATAGAGTGCATAATAGAATTGTCCACGATGTTGACTTCCTTTTCACTGCATCATCATCATTTGAAGAGCACTCGAGAGCAGTTGGTGGAGATAGAAGCCGAACTGTGCCAGAGTAACATGAGTATGAAGGTTATAAGATCAAAGATGTTAAATCTTAAGGAGGAGGTCAAGATATTGAGGTCCGAGAAGGAAGTTGATGTAAATGAATTCAAGTTGAGAGTTGTGGAGTACTTAAAAAGCTCAATTGAGTTCAAAAGAATCCTTTGGGATCACATTCAGGAGACTCACAATCATATATATGATGTTGAGGTGAAGGAAATGCAAAGGGAGTGTGTCGATGATGAAATCATGAGGAGCTTCCTAAATGGGAGTTGTGCAGCGTCATACTAGGGCTATCATAGAGGGACTTACCCCCAGCCATGCTTTAGAGGATTCTCCTTCATATTCTAACAGTGAAGATATCAAGAGCAAGATGAAGACGGTGTTCTCCAATAATGATGAGAGGGAGGAGAACATTTAATTCAAGTAGCACTCTGATTTTGTTTTCTATTTTCTACATATTTATCAATATCTTGTCGTTTGAGTTAGACTAGTGTAGTCATTCTCTTCTTTCTTTCTATTTTTTCTTGCATGTTTATCTGTGCCTGTTGTATGAGTTTGGTTAATGTAGTCATTGTTGATATCATCCAATAATTTTTATTTATTAGCAATATGCCTTATGAGCGTTTTCTTTTACTTTATGCATTCATATGTTGTCAAGCGTGATCATGACAATGATTGTATCAGTTCACTTACATTTTTCTTGTTGTGGGGAAGAGATGTTGGTCAGAACTTCTGATCCATAAGGAGGCTATTATGGGAAGAATCGACAAAAGCTTTTGACTTTCTAGATCTGTGCATTAGAGTATCGCTCGATGATATTAACTGTGCAAAAGAGGCAACAAGACTCCACCAAGGACTTTCTGAGTTTGCTAGTTTGAATGTCACTCACTTATTAACCCATACAGAAGAGGTTGGATCGAATCCCTTGGGATTGATCATGCTCTGACTAATATGCAACTAAAGTTGCATATTTCTCGGGTCAAGAGCTTGAATTAGCTCGTAAATGAACTATTATATTCCTTTAATGTGTTATCAGTATAGAGAAAACTGATAAAGAATCAAATCATTTAATAAACCATGAGTACATTGGCATTGCTAGAGAAAAAAAATGAAAAAAAATGAAAAATGTGAATACAAGAACTAAGAATGGAAATTATAGAGCAAAAATAACATATGTGAAATAAAATCTACATGACTAGACAATCACAGGCAGTACTTATAGAGAATCTTTATATTCAGGTTCAAGGCAAGGTCTTCTCTTTTGAATCCTTGAGCTTGAAGATTTTGGGCTTGATCATGAAGTTTAGCTGTTGCCCAAATTTCTCCATTTTGTTGTCCGAGTTAAAATCTTGAACTCGAGGATTCAAGGCCTTAATATCTACTGGGATGACATACTTCGTGTCGAAGTACATTATGTAAGACGCCTCGCTGGCCGGACTTCAGAAGGTAGTGTGATTAGCTCAGAGGATGTTGTGGGGTACTTCAACCCATTGCCCCCCAACATTCTCAAGACAAGTATTCAAACCTTTGATTATAGTCCAATTGGTGAATCTTGTTTTCCTTTTCGTTTGAGAATGGGCTATAGATGTGTACACCATATGGATATGGAAATCCTTGTAGAAGGATGTGAAGAAATTTCTGAAGAATTAAGTCCATTTGTTAATCACAATGTTTGTAATTGTTGACCTCACTTTGGGTGAACTCCTCATTCACCTCAAACATTTAAGACAAATTTAAAATAAATGACATAAAATAAATTCAAATATAATTAACTTCAATCAGATCCTAAAATTGAATCAAAATACAACCCGATGAGAGAATATTATGAAAATTTCATTTTTATACCCCAAAATGATCATCTTCTCTACAAAGCTAAGATTGATTTATTATTAATGATTATTGCATAACTATTATGTGAAATTTTACGTTCTTAGCTTTCATACATGAGAATTCAGCCCTTATAATTTTTTTTTAATGGAGTGTCATTTTATAAAACAGACTTAACGAATACATTTGGATTGTTGAAATATTTCAGACGAGACATTCTGTCACTAGTTCAGGCTCCATTTTGAGGCTCATCTAGCCTAATATAATTTAGTTGATAATTCAAATAATTTGGATTATAATTACTCTTGGTTCCCTCAAAATGAACTCAAATCAACTCCAAACTCAAAATATAATCAAAGTGAACAAAAAACATAATAATCGACAAATTTGAAGATGAATTGAATATTCAGTATAAATCTCAATTTTTTCTAGTAGAGTGGGCACACATTTTGACCTTAATTTCCTTGACATAGAGACAACTTCAGTCAAAATTGATTGAACTATTGAGTTCTTTAAATTTTCATCTTCCACAAGATTCACGTCTTAATTTTGAGCATAACACCAAATTTCGGTTTCTGGCACACCCGTGCTTGGAGTCGGCACACCCACACCATTCCAACACCCTCAAGGCATTTGTACCATGCAAGACGACACACCCGCACATCCTTGTTTCTCGCAGCGTACTCACACTGCAAAAACTCCTCTAACGCATAGTTACGCCGCCAAGCGGGGTGACCATGCAATCACACTCAAGCGAGCATCATAATTACACGACCAATGATGTGACCACGCCGTTAGAGATCCTAGAGTCCCTATTAAATTCATAGGTCAACTGATGTGTCCCTTCAACCACCAACTTCTTCAAAATATATTACCTCCCTCTTCACAAACGCATGATACACAGCTCCTTTAAGACTCCACGACTCTCACACATTCTCCTTCTCTCACTCCTCTCCTCCCTTACTCTAGTGCTTCACTTGGTGGTCTACCTCCTCCCATCCAAAGTTCTCAGCCTTCCTCCCCACTATAAGCCTTCTTCTCCCTCTTCTTTGTTCTTCTTTTTCCTCTTCTTCGTTCTTCTTCTTTTTTTTGTTCTTCAAATTCTCTAACCACACTACCTCTTCACTAATTCTAAGTCCTCTGTTTCATCTTCCCTAAGCCTTATTTTCTTTTCCCTTCGATACATTCCTTCCTCCTTGACTGTATATCACAACATCATACATTCTCTCTTCTCTTTTGCACAAAACTCACTTCTATTTGGGAGATCTTTTCAAAATAAAATATTATTCACTTTCTCTTCATCGTAATTTCAACTATATCTTCAAGTTCGAATTATAAGTCGCTTAAATTTATAATAATTTGTATGTTGTGTTTACGAAATATTTATGTGAATTCTAAGTTATTGGTATAAGAAATTAAATCCCATGTTTTGATCCATGTGATGTGTGTAATTTAGGTTTATGTGAAGTTAAATCCCATGCTTTGGTCCATGTAATGCATGAGTCATGTTTTTGTGAGATTAAATTCCATGCTATGATGATTTAAATTTCATGTGAATTCTAGGTTATTTGTATGTAAAACTAAAATCTATGCTCAGGCCATTCAAAAGCCATGCAATTCACATGTTATGTTTATGTGATAGTCATGTAAACCAATGTAATTCACATAGGAGGGTGTTTGTAATGAAAAAAATGACTAAAATTTTATATTTATAGTTTAGGTGGTTAAAATATTATATTAAATGTTTTAGATGATCGATATGTAAGAAAATCATTAAAGAGAAAGAAGAAGGAAAAAAAAAATTAAATATTTTTTTAAAAAATGATTTTTCATTAGAAATAATTGAAACCCCACCCCTTTTTAGTAAATTATAAAATAATTTAATTTAATTTTTAAAAAAACAAAACCCTGTAAAAAATAGAACTCTTTCAAAACTTAAAAAAAAATGAATTAACAAAATAAAACATATGAAGTCAATTTAAAACTATTTAAAACTAACTTAAAACAATTTAAATAATTTAAATAATTTAAAAACAAAAAAAAATTAAAATGATTTTAAAATAATTTGAAATAATTTTAAAAAAAATAATTTAAACTTTTCATGCCTATAAAGTTGAATTTATTTATTTTTAATTAAAATAGTGATATTTTTGATATGATATGAAAGATATGGATGACTGGTAAGGCTGTAAACGAGTCGAGCTTGAGCGAGCTTAGGCTTGACTCGTGTTCGGCTCGTTCGAAATAGCTCATGTTTGAAATCGGCTCGTGAACAGTGTGTTCCCGTTCGACTCAATTTAAATATTTGTGTTTGTGTTCGGCTCGAAATTGACTCGTTAAATTAAAATTTAGAAAAATAGATGTAAAATGTGGGATTTGAATCTGGATCAAATATATACAAAATAAGACACTAACCACATTGCCACATGAGGTGTTATGATTTAAACTTAGACATAAATATATATAATATATTATTATATAAATAATATATGTAATATATTATTTTATAAAAAAATTATATATTTTTTTTTGGAGCTTAAAAATCTGTTCATGTTCGGCTCGTTAGGCTTAAAGAACGAGCCGAACACGAGGTGTTCAACCAAACTGAGCCGAACGACTGGAGTATGAAAATTAAAATAGACATGTAAATGCATAAGAATAAGGTCGCTGGAATGCAAACAGCAATATTATTGGAATATTTTAGTTAATTTCCCCGCTTGTTATGCAATATAATCATAATTATTAATTTTGGTTGCTTAATGACAGTATTAAAAAATGATCTTAACTAATTATTAATCCTTCTTCCCTTTGTCTCCTTTTAAATCCCCGAAACCCTCCATGAAGCAGCAGGCCCAATACCCTAGAACACAAGCATTTTGTTATAGGAGAAGACAGGAGCTAGCTAGGAGATATGCGATCACCAAATTCATCCAGGAAAGGCACAAGGATCACTTCTCTCCATGCTTCACATGGCTTCTCTTCCTTCTCCGAAAGCTCACTTCCGCAGGAAAGCTTCGCAAGGTGTAGAACTCCTGCAAAATTCCCATTGCCGCTACTAAGCCAGTGAATTCCATTGCAATTGGAAGCCGAAACCAGGGTTGCTCTAGCCAAGTCAATGGCGAAGTTATCGGTAAACGATCTTCATTTTCTTTAGCCCCTTCGCATGCTCCATTCGTTTTAAGTTCCGTAAATTTGCCGAACTGAGGGATTTAATAAATTTTGAATTTATGAGATAAAATAGGATTTGAAAAAGTTCTAGGATTTATTTTGACATTTTCAACCGTTGAACAGGATTTACGGGAAAAACTAAATAGGTCATGCTTAGATTCCGCTACTAGATAGCTCGTAACTTGTAACAAAACAGCCTTAAGTATCCTTTGCTCTTTATCAAATGATTTCGGCAGATAACTGAAAGCTACAGGTTATTTGATTAAGCTACTTCATTTAATTGGAGCAGCCCGCATGAACCAATTACAATATTCACTGATTAAGATCAAACAATGAATAAAACCATTGAATATTGTGTGCCACACATGAGATAGATTATGTCAATTGAAATATATACGAGAAGTTTTCTTCAAAAGTCCATTCTAATGTAGGTGGCAAGAGAGTTAATGACCTCTTTTATAAATGCATGACTAGATGTGACTTTGAAAAAGAGTTTGAAGAAATCTAGGGTAAAATGACTAAGGTAATCTACACGACAATGTATGGTTGGATGATCTGTACAATATCAGACATAAGTGGTTAATGACCTTCAACAAAGAAATATTTGGGATGTGGATTCTATCAACTCAATGAAGTGAGTCCACTAATAATATTTGTTATGGTGTCTCCAAGCTAACAAGCTCCTTCATTGAATGTTTTCTGGGTCCTGATAATGTCATGAAATCACGGAGAACGAATGGGAAAGACAGAGATATTAAATATCAACAGTTTGTAATTGTTTCCGTTATAAAAAACAGTCCGATGATGAGATATGACTCTTTAATTTATACGAGGAAGTTATATTCTGTGTTTGAAATAGAGTTACCAGTTGGTTTGTGTGGTCTTGCTGTGGAGTGCTCTGTCAATATGAATTCAAAATTTTACAATAAAAATTTGAATAATAAGGAAACAGACAAGCCCTGGAATGTGAGGCTGGACAAAAATAATTCTGAAATAATATGTAGTTGCAAAAAATTTGAAATGATGGTTTATTATGCACTCACGTTCTAAGTGTTCTTAACCTAGAAAATATAACCAAGGACCCTGATAAATATCTCTTATTGCGATGGTCTAATCATGAAAAAGGGAACATATAATAGCTATAGTTATAGATATCGCGGGGAGTCACAAATGTTACCATGTTCATCAAGTGGACTCATACACATGTTAAAAAATTTGTATATCATATTAGCAAAAAATTACAAGGAAATGAATTGGCTGAGAATTGCGTGCCGGAGTCTATGAAGAAATTATCAATCGATGTCGATGACATATTGAGTGGAAGAGAACCTTATGCAAAACCAAAATTAAATAAGAGAAGACATCGAATAATAAACACAATTTGAATGACCCAACGAAGATGCGATCAAAAAGAATATCTAATTCAAGATTAAAAGACTTTTGAGAGAAAAAACAAGGGAGTAAAAGTAGACGTTAGCTATATATATATATATATATACATAAGTATTGAGTGGAATGTATAAAAATCTAGATAATACCATTTCCTAAAATGAAACATTTTATACAGGAAAGGAAAAAGAAGCTTGTTCAAGCCAAGATCCAGTTCCCTCATGCGATCAAAAGTTGTTTGCAATGTCAAATTGTCTTATTTGGTACATAACTAAAAATTCAATACTGTTTGCGCTACGTTGTTTGTTTTTGTGTATACTCCCTCTTTTAAGCTCACTCGTAATTACTAAAAAAATAACATGAATTGTCTATATCACATCCCACAGAAACATATACGAGCTTATTAATGGAACTAGCTGATAATGTATAGTTTTCTAAGAAACTGCAAAGAATTTTTTTCGTTTTCAAGATTAAAAAGCCGTGTAATTAGAAAACTTGCTTTTATGAGGGTACTCCTTTCCCTCAGGCGTGCTTTGCCAAGTTAGTGAAATGGGTTCCCCTCCTTTTAACTGGATTACATTTTGAAGAAAAAAGGACCTCCTTGGAAGGTAGTCACTATATTCAACAGGAATTGGAGTTATTCAGACAGATTAAAGATCATTGCTGAATGGACATTCATCTACAAGGAAGGTAATAATCCACGACGTGATTGGAATATTCCTTGGTGTGATTGCAATATTCCGCGGTGTGATTAGAATATTCTGCGATGTCAATGGAGTTCCCTGCATTGTTATTGGAATATTCCATGGTGTGATTGGATTATTCCTCGGTGTGGTTAGAGTTCTCCTCAGCGTGATTGGAGCTCTTCGCGGTGTGAATGGATTTCTCTTCGGTATTTATTGGGTTGTTTTTCGGTATGATTGGGATATTCCACGGCGAGATTGGATTTCTCTTCGGTTTTCTAGAAGTTGTTTTAAGTATTCTTAAAAATATATTAATTTGTCTGTAGACGAGAAAAATAATAATATGTAAACGATTTAGTGAACAAATGTGTTTTTAAAAATAAAGTAAAATAAAATCAAAATCGATAAACAACTTTGATCCCAAACATGACTTCAGTATGTACTGCATGTCACTTGATTTGATAGTTAAAGAGCTCTTAGTCTATTTAGCAAATTCTTTGACATGAGTTTTCTTCTCTAACTTCATGGCTTGTGGTGGTAGCTCTTAGGTGTTTCTCTTGCTGCATTTTCTATGGGAAAATCTCCATCCGAACGTTGGAAGATAAGTGGCGTTGTTGCTTTGGGAAGGCACCGCTTGAAGGTATGAAGTAGCATTTTTTATACTACGAATTGCTTTTTAGATGCATATTTGAATGCATGAATATGATCTATTTTCTGGAGAGCATTGGTTTAAATTTATCCAATATTTCAGGCGTATGTGTTTTTATCTTGATCCGGATGTGTCTTCTGTAGCTTATGATGACTCCCTTCTAACAACAATGATTTGAATCCTATTCAAGTTCAAATTTTTTTTCACTAAATTATTTTAGATAAAATAATTTGAGTTGTGGTTCGTATAACTTGTCGCTGCATGACAGTTATGTCCATTAATGGAGAAATATAAGTGTTTGAATCTATTAGTTGTTAATTTAACTAAAATTCAATATATATGTATGATGACTATTAAAATTAATTTTTTTTAATAGTAATGCCTATTTTTACGATTAATACAATGGGAACGAAAAATTTTAACTTTTTAATAAGTCCAAACAAATTAATTACAAAAATAAGTTATTAGGGAAATGGCAAGTGGTTAAACAACCATTGGTATTAACCGATTCCTGAAAAACTGAACCGGTAAGGGTTGCACAACACACAACTTTTTAGTTGATATGTTTTAGAACATACCTGTTGATTTTGAAGGCCACTCTACCCTTTTAGCCCTACTCATAACATGATTTTCACTTTTTCCAAAAATCCTTGCTACCCTGCAATCTTGTCCAAATGGTTGGAACACAATGGCTAAACAACCCTCCCAAATGATCGAGCTAAGCAGAGTATATGATTGTAACTGCCAACCTTATACGTTTCACACTTCAGGGGTGTTGTATTTATTCGAGGATATGAATGTAATAACCCACCTTAAAAGCAGCAGAAATATCAGTCTCTCGATTGAGCAATTTTAAGGCATTGTCGTTATTCATCTTAACAATCCTAAATAGGCTATCAACTCTAGGATTAAGCTTTCTAAATGAATCGGTAACATTCTTTGAAAGTTTGTCTTTTTTGATATATTAGCTTGCTTCTGATAATTGGTATTTTGCTTAGCATTTTTTGGTCCTTTGCTAATGTAGGGCTTGAATACTTCTAACTCTTAACTTTTTCTTCAGTGCTAAGCTCAATAGCTGAAATATCCATGCTAATTTTATTAGCGTCTTTTTTTCTTACTTCAAATTTTTTTCTGATCTAGGAGAATTGTTTCAAAATATGAAAGTTTCCTTGATTTAATTGACATCTACATTTGGCTCAGCTATATTCTACTCTAAAATTATTAATGCCATATATATATTAATCACATATGATTTTCTAGTTTGCTTTCCTAAAATCTTGCAGCGATCGGGGTGAATTTGCTGACATTTTATAGCAGCCATCTTTGTTAGATTGATATCTAAATTATCGAAATTTTAAGACTTCAATAAACCAAACTAGTAATGATTGTTATGGCATAAGATAACATCCAATGTAAGAGTGAATCAAACTTCTTTTAAGACTTGTTGATACTATTCTATGGCTTCTAGAAGGTTTTTAGGAATAGTGTTTTTCAAGGAGGTGGTTGTGGAATCTCAAGGGGAAGAGAATACGTGAGTTTGATAGAGTCTAAAATGGGGATAAATATAACTCGGTGACTGTCCTGGCTGAAGACAACAAAAAATAGTACCAAAAGGATGACATATGGATGCCAGTGAGGTTCATAACCTATTCGTGTACAAGCTATAGACAAACTACTTACAAAATAAAAATGATACAACCCTCCATTAGGGTAGAAATTAGAGATACAATCTTTAAAATGCATGTAAACTAGCAAAACAACAACATATATATAGTTCCCTCACAGAAAAATCTAATTAGAAAGAGTGAAATAGGAAAATAAATGAAAATAGAATAAAAAATACGCTAAATTTTGGAAGTCAACACTCCCTTCCCCTGTCTAAATCCGTGATTGCAGAGGTTTAAATTTTGCGGCTCATGAATTATCATGATCGGGATCACAGTACGTTGCTCTTGACACTGCATCAAGATGCTTTGCATCAATTTCCCTGGCTAGGAGAAGCTTCTTCTTCTTTGCATGCTTCTAGAATTGATATATCATCATTATAGCAATATCATTGCCTTGCTATATCTAAGGCAGTCCTACTGCAAAATCCATGCTCATCCATTTTAGATAGCTAAAAGAAACATGCATTCTTCCAAATTGTGTCTCGATAAAATAAATAACATTATTTTTTGGCACAACAATAGTAAGAAGTGCATATAAATGGGTATTCTCGTGATCAAGTCTTGAGTTCTTAAATATCTAATTTGCTTCTCTCACTTCTCTTACTCGGTTGGGCACATCCAATAAACAAGTATGTTTGGAGGAATTATGTTTGAAATAATATTTTGGCATGCTGAACTACTCTGAGTGGTAACCACCCAATAGCTAAACTGTAAATTAGGATATCCAATGCCCCCCCTAAACAAGGGGTTATCAGTTTTTTTTGCTATCGGTTTGTTGGACTTTCTATCTTCGAGAACAAGCAATTCAGTTGGAGTCTCTCTCGTGGGCTCAACTTGAATTACTCCTCATTGGTTGAAAGTTGCGACTTAAGCCGAGTACTCATTTTCTTATGCTATATTAATATTTTTGTTTGTTTTAAACCAAATGCATTTACTATTACTGTCTGCTCTGCAACCTTCTTCTTCATAGAGAAAAGCTTCTTATTCCTTTCGGTATTCTTAGATAAAAGCCTTCTTCTTCCACACCATAAACATTCTGAAGGGTTCAATCATCACTTGCCTCCTCAATTCATCTGTAGGGTTTGGAGTGTTCTCCATAAAGATGTTTGGAAGTCAACCGACTCAAGGGATGTAAAACAAATATAGAATGCTAAAGGGGTCTTGTCACACCCTATTTATAAGGATCATGAGCATGAAAATCAAAGGAGTTCAATTATTGAAGGTTTAATTATGACATGATGATATCTACTTTTACATTAAATTTTCTTATTTTTATCGTAATTGTCACTTAAGTAAGAGAATCACAAACTAAAATACATACATTAGAAATATGTCAGCACTAATTCCAAGAAGATATAACAACTAAAAAGAAATGAATTAAAACAAAGAAGGACCCACTGACGGAAGATCAAATGATTCACCTGACCAGATGCAACCCCTTAAAATGGAGCGGGACGCCAATCAAGTGCAGACTAGCCAAACCAAGAACAAAGGTTGATCAAGCCAAGTGAACGCGTCGACTTGCTTATTGTCGCAATCCTACTTAGGGAAATAATTCAATATCGCTAGCCATATCATGGAAGCCCTAGAGTTTTATTATCATGGGCCAAGAATTGACAATAACATAGCCAACAATCATCCCAAAGAACCCTCTCATCAAGGAATGAACTATGTATCAGACTATGTTGGTTCACCATTTGCTCGATTGCCTAGTCTCGTTCTTCTGATAAGAGCTCCTCACCAGAGATCGAGGGATGATAACCAGACTAGATCAACTAATTGACAAAGTCTAGCCTACTGAGTCAGCCCAACCGACACTGACTCGAAGGCAATCAAAGGTCGATCAACGATAAGCTCCGCATGGGCTACTGGGCATGCCTTGCCGAACTAAAGCCTGCCTTGCTCAAACAACCAACCAAAAAGGTGGCCGAGCCATAGACTCACATATGTAAAATATAAAAATTAACTTGTAACGACCTCATTAAAGCAAAGATAAACATGTAATTTCATTCACTGTACACCCTTCTCTATAACCAGAGGAATCATTTTTTTGAGAAATGACTAATCAATAAGACCAATTACTGTTCATTACAATGCACTATTCTCTCTTTCTTTCTCTTCTCCTCTGCTCTATTCCCTTCGGGTTTGATTCATCAACAAACTAGTATTCAACAATTTAGTTTAGTTAAGATAATTTACTTCTATTTGACGTTTTAAACATCTTATTTCAATATTTTATTTTTTTGTGCATTAAATCTGTTAAATATAACATGAAATCTAAATTTAGTAAATTTGGCTTTATGTCAAAAAATAGATAGGAAGGAGAGAAATACTATACTAATTTAGCAAATATTCATTTTATTTATTTATTTTTTAAATTTGGGTGAATGTACGCTAAAATCGAACCTAAATCAAGTAAATCCGCGTAGCATAAAGCTACGGTTTATGGCTACTCCGTTTAATTGGAGCAGCCCGCACGGAGAAGAAAGAGCAAAGCGAAGGAGCAGCCCGCATGGAGAAGAAAGAGCAAATGGATTCCTCCATTACTGTCAAAGTGAGGTTCCGCGGCAAATCGATTCCAGTCTCCCTTTCTCCTGAATCCACCGTCTGGGATCTGAAGTCCAGCCTACATCCCCTTACCGACACCCTCCCTCGCGCTCAGAAGCTTATATGCAGAGGTACGCCGCCTAGCGAGAATATCTCCCTTTACTGTTATAACTTTAATTTTTCAACATCAGCCGCATTTCTGTTGGAGACGGAGGCCGCATTTAGCAAATAAGGGAGAAATTAAGCTGATTTAACTTTAATCCTCCCAGACTTTCATTTTGGATATTCAATAATTGGCCCATTTTCGTCATAAATCTCAGATTTAGCAAGGGAATGAGGAGAAAAGACGACGATTAGGTTTCTTAATGATTCGGGTAGGAACGGAGCGCAAGGAGGATGGGGATGGGAGTTCCGATAGTCTTTGTACAACACGATCCCATCGTTGCCTTTGTAGCTATCTTTAAACGTAACCGTATCTCTAGGGTTTCTGTCACGAGGGCGATGGTTTTGGGTGAAGCTGGGAGATGAAGGAGGAAGTTAGGCGTGGTTTTGGGCGGGAGAGGGGAAAGTTGGGATGGGCTTCAGGCTTCTGGATGTAATTTAACTTTAATTAAAAGATAATTAGACGTGATAAATAATTATTTTATAATTAATTTATTAAAATAAATTATATATTAAAATTAGTATAATAAATTAATAATTAACTATTTACTTATTTATTGATAAGTGTTAAAATTATTGTTTAATAAATGACTAGTTTAACAAAATTCTTATTAA